CAATTCGCGACTCTTTTGGCGCGAAATTCAATTCGATTTCCAGTCTTTGGATTCGCGCGAAGTTTGCGTTGATTTCCGCCAAAAGTCGTCTCAAAGACTGCGCGGAGAAGACGTTCGCGCGAACCAAGACTTCCCGCACGAGAGGACAGCGGCGGCCGATGCGCGCGAGCGGCCACTCGACGCCCACTGCCATCCATGTGATGGACAGCGAGCGCAAGAGTGGACACAACTCGGAGACGGTTCGCGCGGAGGTCTTGAGCAGCGAAGATGGAGCGAGAAGTGGAGTGACGCAGAGCTCGAGCGCAGAGACAGAGCTCTTCTCGAGCAGACGTTTCAGTCGTTTGACGTCTTTTGGCGACGCGATTGAGAGCGCGAGAGACGTGTGGAGGGCGGCGTCGGAGGGCGAAGGCAGAGGAGGCGGGGGTTTGTTGCGAAGGAGGCGTCGGAGGAGGCGTTTGAAGGGATTTTCGTCCGATTTTTGCGGAGAATTGCCGAGAATTTTGAGGAATTGTTTTGAAACGCATTTGAATTTCAAACGATCTTCGAGTGAAAGAAACGCCAAAAGAGTTGTCATTAATTGGTTGTCGAACCGCGAGAATGAAGACATTGTTGTGGAGTTCGGGAAGCGAAGAGCGCGACGTTTTTATTGTCGAGATTTGGGTCAAAAAAACGGGTTTTTATTCACAGAAAAGTCATTAGAAATGAAATGATTTTACGATTGTTTCGAAAACAAGTCATAAAAAGAAAGAAAAGACAGAAACCGCGACTTTTCTCGACTGCCGGTGACGTCACAGGCGTTACGTCACGCGTGAGTCACGTGTTGTTGTTGTGGTTGACGTGTAGTCGTTATCGCGGAATGACAGCCCTTCTCGCGCTCGCAGTCCCATCCCCGGCCCCACCCCCGCCTCTCCCGCTCCCCCGCGCGCTCCCCCGACAGGCCTTCCAAACAGTTATCTCTTTGGAGATCAAGGAATGCGATAAACGCTGGAAACCAAAGACAACAACAAAGCGATGAATGTTTTCGGAGGACTCGAAGGGTTTGTCTCTCTTTCGGCTACCGTTCCCTTCATTTCCACCCTTTCCTCCATTTCAGGGGCGCCTCCCTCTCGAAGATCGTGTTGCTGTCGGCCGAGGGGCACGTGTTGGCGTCTGACGAGTCGGGACCGGCGACCAATCACTGGGTGCGTACTGCGCGTCACGTCATCTCCTCTAACGCTCTTCTCCGCCAATCAGATGATAGGAGTGGACGAGTGTTTCGCGAGAATCGCGCGAATGGTCGCCGACGCGCTCCGAATGGCCGCTCTTCCGGCAGACACTCGTCTCGCGGCACTCGGACTCTGTCTCTCGGGCTGTGAAGACGAGGCTGCGAACGCGGAGATGGCGGCGCAGTTCGAGCGACGGTACCCGTCGGTGGCGCGCGCGTGCGTCGTCGCGTCCGACACTTTGGGCTCTTTGTTGACGGCCACGCCCTCCGGAGGCGTCGTCCTGATCGCCGGAACCGGAAGCAATTGTCTGCTCTTCAATCCCGACCAATCGCACGTCAAGTGCGGCGGTTGGGGTCACGTGTTGGGCGACTGGGGCGCCGCCTTCCAGATCGCGAACGAAGCCATCAAAACCGTCATCGAAGTCGAGGAGAACTTCCGGCGCGAAGAACACGACGTTTCGGGCGTTCGCGACGTCGTCTTCCGCCACTTCTCGGTCCACAAGACGTCCGAACTCTTGACTCCGATTTACGCGCATTTCGACAAAACCTCTTTCGCCGCTCTCTGTCGTCCTCTCGCGCTTCGTGAGTCCTTTCCGTCCATAAACTCCGTCTATTGCCTTCTCTCGCCCGCAGTGGCCGTCGAAAAGGACGACCCGTTGGCCAAAGCGCTGTTCCGAAGGGCGGCCGTGGATTTGGCGAAACACGTGAACGCAGTGCTGCCTTCCGCGCACCCCGTGAGTAGTGCTTATAGTAGTCCCGCCACTCTATACCCGCTCTCCCCCGCAGTCGCTGCTCTCCCTTCCGGGCGGACTTCCCGTCGTTTGCGTCGGTTCTGTGTTCAAGAGCTGGCCGTTGCTTAGAGACGGCTTTTTCGCGACTCTCTCGCCGACAATACGAGAGCTCTCTTTGCGTCGCTTAACGACAAGCAGTTCTTTTGGCGCCGCTTTTCTCGCCTCCAAACTCAACGCGCAAACAATGCGAATGCATTTCGACGCCAACTCCGAGCTTTTGGACCGATTCTCGCGCCAACAATACGAGAAGCGCTGAAAGGGTTTTGAATTTTGAATAAAAGTAACGGAATTTGTGAACACTTTGCGTGAAGTAAACAATGATTTCTCTGAACGACGGCTCGCGAGTGCCTGTCGTCGGGTTCGGGACTTACGCTCTGAAAAACGTCGCGAAAAGCGTTTCCGAAGCCATAGAAGTCGGGTATCGGCTCTTCGACTGCGCGCATGCGTACGGAAACGAACGCGAAGTCGGCGCTGCGCTCCGGGAGGCCATCAGTGCGGGCAGAGTGCGGAGGGAGGAGTTGTTTGTCGTGACCAAAGTGTGGCCCAATTGGTACGGCAAGGGAAGGCCTACTTTGTCGGCCGAACGCAGTGTCGAGGCCTTCGGTCTCGAGTATTTGGATCAACTGCTG